AAAATTTAAAAAAGTGTCTCGTGTAACTTTGGACAATGACAGATCAGTGGCTGGAATAGGCGATTGTGCCTGATGCAGCAGTACGGCAGTGAGAGAGAGGGCGGCCCGGATGAGAGGGCCGGCAGCGGCTGCTACAATGGGCTCAGACGTAGCAATGGAGGATGGCGCAGAACTGGGAGGTGTTTCGTTCAGTGAGTCTGAACTCGATGGCGTCTAAGAAGAGCTAAAATCTCAAGGCTGTCACTAGCAACTTTTTTCCAGAGAAGGTACCAGCCAGCCAAGTAGCCAAGGTACAAGAATTGCCAGAAGTCCAACAGGACCTTCCAAAGGGCCTTACCCCAGGAGTCAACCATGGTGGGACTCAGAAAAGGGCAGGCCCTACTGATAACACACTATCGATTGCTGATGGGGGTGCCCCAGGGCTCAATGTTTTCACTGGGCTGGCTCCTTTAATCCTCCCAGAAAGCCAGGAAGGCCAGTATTATCCCTAGATGGAGGGACTGGGGCTTGTTAAAGGAATAAGTCATTTCCCCAGATTCATAAAGGAGCAAGGAGCAGGTGCAAGGGTTTGAACCTGGGCTCTCGGAAGTCACATCTGAGATCGAATAATTAGGTTCCTAAGGTTTCAAAGGTTTATTGACCCAGATACTGACACAAAATTGTTGTTGTTGAAAAGCTATTTGATTAGCAAAACAAAGAGGGATTCTGGGAAGTACTGGAAACAAAGCACCAAGTACCTGATAAAATGTAAGCTAACACACTACAGAACCATCAAGCCACTGCCATCATATCAATACTGACTCAGAGTGACCCTGTAGGGCAGCGGTCCTCCGCCTGTGGGTCGTGATCCCTTGAGGGGGTGTGTGTGTCGAATGATCCTTTCACAGGGGTGACTTAAGACCATCAGAAAACACATATTTCCGATGGTTTTAGGAACCGAGATCCCGCTCCTCTATCCATCTCCAGGTGGGTCCGCCCACATGCAGGTACACCCACCAATGAGGACCCGGTGTGAAGACTGTCACCATGCTCCACCATGCTTCCAGACAAAATCTCATCGAGTTGTAATTAGAAATAAGTATTTCTCAATCTATAATTACATACTGTTTTTACGATGAATCACTATGCTTTAACGATGTTCAATTTGTAATAATGAAAATACATCCTGCATATCGGGTATGTACATGAGGATTCATCAAGTAGCAAAATGACAGTGATGACGCAGCAATGGAGATCATGTTATGGTTGGGGACACCCCAGGAGGAACTGTATGGAAGGGTCGCGCATGAGGAAGGTGGAGAACCGTGCAGTAGGACAAGACAGAACTCCCCCGCAGGTTTGAGATTGTGACTCTTGACGGAGTAGAAAGCCTCATTTTTCCACAGAAAGGCAGCTGTTTTCAAAAAACTGCTGACCTCGTGATTTGCAGCCCAATGCACAACCTCCTTCGGCATACTTTACTACTCGGCAAAACCAATCCTAGGCCTCCCTGCCCTCAAGTTGATTCCCACTCATGAACTGCCTCTTCGCATGTAACCCACTACATCGCCAGGGCTCCAGAATGGTAGGTGGACTTAGGCAGCAGCTCACATGACTGTTGTCCTTAACGGCAAGGGGCAGGAAATGATGTAATCATCAGTAGAGGGATGGCTCACAACAGTGGCAGTCACAAGAAATGTTTACTAAAGTAGTTTGAGCAAATTAATATATATATGTGTGTAAACAAATGTGCCCTGGTGGCAAAGGGGGTTCTGTTGGGCTCCTA